TATAGTGAGGTTAAAAGCTAAAATGCAGAAATGGTTTTCCTAAAAATTTTACATTCAGTCTTCTCTAAAAGCTTTTAAGCTAAACATATTGCCTACCAGCAAAATGAAAATGAAATTTAGAAATTAATAAATAAATAGCCTTCTGATCTAGTATTTAGCAACTGCAAACTCTAAGGAACATAATTGACACCGTATTTAAAAATTATAATATAAATTCATTCTATTACTTTTAAATTTAAAATATATATGCATTAATGCATGAATGTGTATATATATATATTTGTAAATAATGCAAGCGGTATACACATTGGTACATATTACTATCAGTATCATATTGTACAAAGATGCAATCAAAAAATTTAACAACTTCTTATAAATGTGGCCCAAACATATCATCAAACACAGTATCACTACAACTCACTCAATGAGATGCTCTGGAAAGTGCTTACTCAATTTTCATGGCCTTTGTGAATAATGTGTGTTAAGTGGCCACAGTTTCTCTTATAATGTTTTAAATAAGTGATTTCATAGTCTGGTTATGCAATCTATTAATCTAGTTATTTGTGATCATAAACAAGGCAACAAAAGGTAGCAAGTTGTGACTTGATTGTTCCCACTGTCACATGTATCAGTTTTTATTAGCTATAGATCCCAACTTGTTTTTTGTTTTAAGAATTATTTGAAATCAATTCTAATATGTGTGGGTTCTTGGGAAGTCTTAACTTAGAACAGTTAATGCTGTGCAGTACAAACTTGCTTTTTAGGGGGAAAAAGATAGCTAAGGAACAGAATGACAACTTTATAAAATTTATGTGAACTATTTATCAAAGGCAGGAGAGTGGGTCAGGGTAGTACATTTGCTTCCTCACTTAGGTTAGTGCATTTGAAGTGGAAGGTTCTCGTTTAATAACTGACAGTCTGTCAGAGGGAACAGGATCTCAGGTGTTGGATTTTCTTCTAAGAATAGTAAACTGCACCTGCTTTATTAACTCATCTATTGAAAAGTCATGTTTAAGTAAAACTGACTAAGGGTCACCTTATGGCTAGGAAAATTGGGCATAGAAAGAACACACAACTGAGCTCGCTACTTCAGCCGCCAGCCCTTCTCACTCCTTGAGGCTGCAGATATCATGTCCACTTGGACCTTAAATTTTTAATAGGGTGTTTTATTGCCTAAAGTTTTAAACAAAGAAAAAGAAATCAATCGGGTTGACCTAGTTCTGGTTTTGACGGGCAGGAAAATCAGGTTATAATTCAGAACCAAAAAGAAGTTGTTCTACAGGTTTCCTGTACTTGGGAGGAAACAAACATGGATGCAAACACAGATGATACAGTAGGACTGTGACTAACTAACTTCCTTCCGGGCGAATTCTTTCTCTCAGACTCCCAGAGTCACCATTTTACCGACTTATATCATATGTCCCTGAAGCGTTCAGCAGAGTCACTTGAAAGAAATCTCTTCATTAAGAGGGAATGAAACATATGTAGAAATTAGGAGGAACAAACAATAACTATGATGAAAGTTACTATCTTGGAGCCTTTACTAACATCAAGCACCATGAAGGATCCTTTGCCAAACCTTTATTGTTAATTACAGCAATGCAGAAATAATTCATCATCTCTGTGTTGCCAATGACATAACCAATGTTTAGAGAGGTCCAAAACATCCAGGATATCACATCATAGGTAATTACAGCTGACCATTCAAAATTCACATGTTCGCCGGGCTCGGTGGCTCAGCCTGTAATCCCGTGCCTTTGGGAGGCTGAGGTGAGTGAATTACCTGAGACCGCAGGTTCGAGACCCACCTGGGCAACTTGGCGAGACCTCATCTCTACAGTAAATCAAAAAATTAGCCGGGTGTGGTAGCGCGCGCCTGTAGTTCCAGCTACTTGGAAGGCTGAGGCGGAAGGATTGCCGGAGCCCAGCAGGTCGAGGCTGCGGTGGCCGGGAGCAGCCATTGCGCTCCAGTCTGGGCGACAGAGTGAGACTCCAACTCAAAAAAAAAAAAAAAACATTCACATGTTCTTCCTATGGCTTTTAAAAAAAAAGCTTTTAACAAAACAAATCATTCTCCACTGAGATATTTAATTCTGCAGTAGAAATATTATCTTAGAATTGACAAAATATTATTACCCTCCTCTTAAATCCTGAGTCACAGCAGCCCTCAGAAGGTGTGGTCTGGTCCCTGGTGGGACAATTTTCTTAATGGGACTCTCACTACCTCGCCAGGTAACTCAGTCCCCTTTAGACAGCTCTTATTGTTAAAAGTTTTTCCTAAGATTCACCTCTGAAAACAATAAAATAGTTCCAAATCTTCTTTCTCTTCCAAGACATCCCTTGACACCTTTTAGATCTTTTAATGCCTCCGTGACAGGTTCCTCTCCCAAAATCTTCTCTCAACATTTCCCACAAGAAACCTCCCAGGACCCTTCCATCTGGTTCCTGCGGCTGTGCTCCACCTGGAAGCGCTGAGAGAAGGATGCTGATCAAAGTCAAGAGCCACAGCCCCTTTTTCTCATCTGTGGCACCCATACTTCTAGAAATATAGAAGAATATTGGGCCTGGACTTGGTGACTCATGCCGGTAATCCCGGTGCTTTGGAAGGCCAAGGCAAGAGAATTGTTTGAGCCCAGGAGTTCAAGGCCAGCCTAGGCAACATAGCAAGACTTAGTCCCTACAAAAAAAAAAAAAAAAAAAAAATAAACCCTGAATTGTACCCCACATCTTTAAAATAAAAAAAATTTAAAAGATAGAAATAAAAATTAGCTAATTAGAAGGCAGATGGAAACATCACCTGAGTCCAGGTGGTTGGGGCTGTCGTGAGCTGGGATTGTTTTATACACTCCAGCCTGGATGACAGGGTGAGAACTTGTGTGTGTGTGTGTGTGTGTGTGTGTGTGTGTCTCTTTCTTTCTCTCTCTCTCTCTCTCTCTCTCTCTCTCTCTCTCTGCGTGTGTGTGTGTGTGTGTGTGTGTGTGTGTGTATGTGTGTGTGTGTGACTGGAGTGCAGTGGAATGATCACCACTCACTGCAGCCTTGACCTCCTAGGATCAAGCAATTCTCCCACCTCTGTCTCCCTAATAGCTGTGACTATAAGCATGTACCATTAGGTCCAGGTAATTTTTTGAGTTTTTGTAGAGACAATGTCTCACTTGGTTGCCTAGGCTGATCTCAAACTCGTGGACTCAAACAATCCTCTTCCTTCAGCCTCCCAAAGTGCTGGAATTACAGGCATGAGCCACAGCTCCCAGTCCACTATTGATTCTTAATTAACTTGAAGTCAAGATACATTTCTTGGTATTTTTACTTGAGCTGCTCATAAGCCAAATTTCCCCACATCTTAACCTTGGGCAATTGACTTTTCATATGGAAGAATAGGACCTTTCTGTTTCCCCCTCAGTTTTACCCTCAGGGTGTCCTTGAACTCTGCAATCTTCTAAGTCTCTTATATCTCTACCCCATAACTAGGAGTAGGCTGCAGATTTTGCAGATTTGATCTTTTTTTTTTTTTTTTTTTTTTTTTAGTTGGAATCTCACTCTTTCACCCAGGCTGAAGTGCAATGGCACAATCACAGTTACTGCAGCCTTGACCTGCTGGGCTCAGGTGATCCTTCTGCCTCGGCCTTCCAAGTAGCTGGAATCATAGGCCCGCACCACCACACACGCCCAATTTTTTTTATTTATCAAGTTGCCCAGGCTGGTCTGAAACCCCTGGGCTCAGGCAGTCCTCTTGCCTCTGCCTCTCAAAGTGCTGGGATTATAGACGTGAGCCACCTTCCATAACTTAATTGATGTGGACAATTTAAATAGTACAATGGTCAGGACAAGATGCAGAGCCTGGGGCTCACTAGTGAAGACCACCAATCATCTTTATGATGCTTCAAGGAATCACAAAACACTCACAAATGCTATCTCATTTAATTCTCATAACTACCCAATGCATAAGACACTACCACTGTTCTTCTATATGTGAGGAGAAAGACCGTATGACTTGTCTGATGTGGCATAGCTAATAAATGACAAAATTGGAAACAAGCATTAGGACTCCTGACTGTATCCAGTGTGTTTTTAAATTCTATTTTTTTTTTTTTCTGAGTTGGAGTCTCACTCTCTTGCCCAGGCTGGAGTGCAGTGGCACACTCACGGCCATCCCAACGTCGAACCTGCTGGGCTCTGGCCATCTTTCCGCTTCAGCTTTCCAAGTAGCCAGCACTACAGGCGGACGCTACCATGCCCAGTTAATTTTTTTTATTTTATTGTAGAGGCAAGGACTCGCCAAGGTGCCTGGGCTGGTCTTGAACCCATGGGCTCAGGCAATCCACTCGCCTAGGCCTCTCTAAGTGCTGGGATTACAGGCTGAGCCATTGAGCCCAGCCTTAAATTCTATTTTTATTGTTATCCTTTTGTAGCATCTCCCTGTGTTGCCCAGGCTGGTCTTGAATTCCTGATCTCAAGTAATCCCCACCCCTCAAAATACTAGGACTACAGGCATGAGCCACTGAGCCTGGCCCAGTGTTTTTAAAGACAGATTTTTATACACAGTGATTAACTTAATCTCTTTTTCCTTTCCCCACCCATGGTATTAACAGAAACTAATGAAGTCAAGATACGTTTTCTACAAACCAAATTTCTCCCAGAAATTCAATGTAGATGAAAGCAGGCAGCTCTGCAGAAACCAGATGGGGGGCCCTCAGCCCTTCTCTTTGTCCCACCCAGGGGTCCCCTCAATTCTGGTACCTGTGGCACCCTTTAGTTCTGAGCGCAGTTGGGGAATCACTAGCCAATGGCATGCTCTCAAACTGTGACCTTTTCTAAAAATAATTTTTAGAATAAAGCCTAGCTTGTCATGCCTTGTTTTTATAATTCATTCTAGTTTTGTGAGAGCTTATCTGTCTATGGTTTAATGACCTTTTTACATGGGGCAGAACCATTTTAAAGTTCAAAGGCATCTTGGGGCGTATTTAACTCAAATCTTTATTTTGCAGATGAAGACGTAGCAACCCAGAGAGAAGTAACCCACAAAGGATCATTTTGTGAAGGAGCAAAGCCAAACTTCCAGACCTGGGCCCTCCTGGGCAGGTACATTCTGATTACATCATGGAGACTTGCTTTTAGAAGTCTGACCCTTTTGACTGCAAAATGACATATTTAACAAGATGAAACTTCAAGTTCTCTCTTAAGCAACCAGCGGACATTTATTATATGCTAGGCATTATACTGACATGTAAGATGATAGAAAGAAATAAAATGTCACCGTTAGCTTTAGTAATCAGGCTTTGGAATACTGGTTTTAGCTTGCAGACATTACAAATTCCTTGAAAATGTATGCAGAAAAATGTTGATGCAAAATTTGCATACATTGCAACGGTTCAAAGATGCCACCCTCCACCCAAGTCCTTGACCTCCAGGTTGAGAATGCCTGTCTGACCAGATACCATGGCTCACACCTGTAATCCCAGCACTTTGGGAGGCCAAGGTGAGAGAATTGCCTGAGTCCAGGGGTTCAAGAACAGCCTGCATGACTTGGCAAGACCTCATCTCTACAATAAATCAAGAAAAATTAGCTGGGCATGGTGGCACGTGCCTGTAATTCCAGTTGCTTGGAAGGCTGAGGTAGAAGGATTGCCTGTCCAGCAGGTCGAGGCTGCAGTGGCCGTGAATGTGCCACTGCAGTCCAGCCTATGCGACAGAGTGAGACTCCAACTCAAAAAAAAAAAAACCCTGTCCTAGAAGAAGGCAATCCCAGCACAAGTTCACATGTTAGAATTTCATAGCACCAGCAACTGTCTTATTTATGGGTCTTGGTTAAAGGCTGCTTCTGTTTCGACACCCTTCATCTTTTATTTAAAAGGAGCAGCATCTTATCCTAGAAGACCTTTGGTACAAGGCAGGGATATATGTTTAATGAGCATTTAATTAACCAGGTCAAACAAATTAAGAAAAAAATATAGCAAATGAAAACATTGTTTTCTAAAACTGTTAACAATGAAAGTGAGGATGGGCAGTGTTTATAAAAGGACATTCATTGTCTCTCTAGTTATTTTATTTTTAAGAAAGAAATTTTAAAAATAGAATGACAAAAGAAATAAAAAGAGACACCCACTAGCTACCGGCCCACTTTTATTCAATCTATAGTGAGAATGACCTGTAGTGAAAGTGACCTCTCAGCCAAAGGTAGTGGACAAAAGGTAACATTTATCTTGTGAATGGTTATTTCCTAATCCTTACCTTTTTGCTGCAATGTTTTAGCAGATTTGTAGCTCTGAAATGCTCAGCAACGTTTTCTTCATTTCAAGATATTTAGGGGGGCAACCCCTTCAGGTCCCCTCCGACTATGGGAGCTTCTCTGTCCTCTCAATAAATCCTGCTTTCTCACTTTAAAAAAAAAAAAAAGATATTTTAGGGAACTGAATATTACTTTAAAGTTATTGATAGCCAGGTGCACTGGTGCTAACCTGTAGTCCCAGCTATTCAAAGGCTGGGTCAGGAGAATCGCTTGAGACCAGGAGTTCATGTCTAGACTGGGCAACAGAGCAAAATTCATTTTTAAAAATTTTTTTTTAAATTAGCCAGGCATGATGGCATGCACCTGTCGTCACAGTTACTCAGGAGGCTGAGGCAGGAAGATTGCTTGAGCACAGGAGTCCAAATCTAGCCAGGGCAACATAGGGAGACCCTGTCTCTAAAAAGTAAAAATAAGTAAACAAATAACATTACTGCTAAGAAAGCTTGATTTACTAATTCAAACATACTCATTGGACACCTAGCATTTGCAAGACACTATTCAGGAGGCAGTTTGGTGCGCCTAAAATAACACTTTAAGTGAGAGAATCATAGAACTGAATTCAGTGCTGTTTTCTCCTGAGCTTCTGAAAATAAGCAAGGGCACAGCTAATTGAGACTCAGTTTCCTCATCTTTGAAATGAGGTCCATGTAGTTAAAGTGCTTAGTACAGTTCTTGACCTGTGCAAGATACTTCTCAAAAAACAGTTACTACTGCAGTTGATGAGGCCTTTGGTCTCCTTCATGATAGCCACACCAGAACTGAATAAACAGGCTGGAAAATAAACTATCAAAAACTGGTTTTGAGCCGGGCTCAGTGGCTCAACCTGTAATCCCGCGCCTTTGGGAGGCTGAGGTGAGTGGATTGCCTGAGCCCGTGGGTTCGAGACCCGCCTGGGCAGCGAGACCTCATCTCTACAATAAATCAAAAAATCAGCCGGACGTGGTAGCGCATGCCTGTAATTCTGGTTACTTGGAAGGCTGAGGCGGAAGGATCGCCGGAGCCCAGCAGGTCGAGACTGCGGTGGCCAGGAGTGGCCACTGCACTCCAGTCTGGGCGACAGAGTGAGACTCCAACTCAAAAAAAAAAAAAAAACAAACAAAAAAACTGGTTTTGAATTTAGTAACTGATAAAGGTCACATGCTCTGTCTTAAAAGTGGTCCATGACCAGATGTGGTGGCTGGCTCACACCTGTAATCCCAGCATTTTGGGAGGCCGAGTTGCAAGGATTGTTTGAGCCCAGAAGTTTGAGACCAGTCTGGGAAACATAGTGAGACCTCATCTCTACCAAAAAAAATCAAGAAATTAGCCGAGCGTGGTGGCATATGCCTGTAGTCCCAGATACTTGGGAGGCTGAAGTGGAAGGATCGCCTGAGCCCTGGAGGCCAAGGCTGTGGTGAGCCATAATTGTACCACTGCACTCCAGCCTGGGTAACAGAGTGAGACTCCAACTCAGGAAAATAAACAAACAAAAAACAGAGGGTTGAGAGATCATATTTGTTTGTTTATATATTTATTTATTTATTGAGACTCAATAAATAAATAATATTTTTTTTAAATGATTTTCTTCTCTTTTGTTCTCTGTCCAGTACTCATAATCTAGCAATAGTGTGTTGGTATAGTGTGGCAACCATCACAATGGCTAACATTCATGTAGCTTTCCTACATAGTATTCTATCTACTTTATACTTTTTAAATCTTCTCAGCAATTGTATGAATGAAATTCTGTATCATTCCGATTTTCTGGTTGGGAGAAATTGAGGTTCAGAGTTGCTGAAGATCACAGATTTTGTAAGGACGGAACTGGAATTCAAACCCGGACAGGACCAGAGCCCAAGCTTGTCACTAACCTACCACATGCCTCTCAGTAGAATGCTCACCTATCTCCCCACAAGGTCCTCATGAGAACTGGGACCTCATTTTCTTCATCTTGGTCAGGCCACGTGGCTCATGCCTATAATCCCAGCAGTTTGGGAGGCCAAGGTGGGAGGATTACTTGAGGCCAGGAATTTTAGATCACCTGAGCCCAGGAGATAGAAGCTGCTGTGAGCCATGGTCATGCCACTGATGAAAGAGAGTGAGACTCTAACTCAAAAAAAAAAAAAAAGAAAGAAAGAAAAAGAAAAATTAGTATTAGAAAATATGATTGAGAAAGTCTGGTTGACCAACCGCCTATGCAACCAGACTTCCTTTGGCAGAACTCTGGGAGCAAGAACTCAGCAGATGGTCTTCTAACAGATCAGCATTGCAGTAACTTGACTTCTTTATCCTCAAATTGTTCCTTGGAGCTGGGCTTGGTGGCTCAGCCTGTAATCTCGTGCTTTGGGAGGCTGAGGTGAGTGAATTGCCTGAACCCACGGATTCGAGACCTGCCTGGGCAACTTGGCAAGACCTCATCTCTACAATAAATCAAAAATCAGCTGGGCGTGGTAGCACGTGCCTGTAATTCCGGCTACTCAGAGGGCTGAGGCGGAAGGGTCACCGGAGCCCAGCAGGTCGAGGCTGCAGTGGCCAGGTGCTGCCACTGCACTCCAGTCTGGGCGACAAAGTGAGACTCGGACTCAAAAAAAAAAAAATTGTTCCTTGGATAAAAATCTTCAGTTTCTAAGGACTTCTTTAATATAATTATGATAGGTGGGGATTAGATAATGGCTTAATTTTTCATGACCAGGCTTCTAGCTCTTAAGAAAAACAGAATCCGTAGAAAAAAACAGCCAGCGAATAGTTCCTTTGCCAGACTGTGCATTGATGGCTGGAAAAGGTCTGAGAAGAGAAGAAAAAGGCTGGACTGTCATGATGGGCCCAGAACACAGTGACCAGGAAAAGGGTCTTTAATGATGCATAGATGGTTTAGCTGCTCTTCCCTTTGAGGTGGTCTGGGTGTTGGGGTCTTCTGAGTACTTATTTCACAGTTTTTCAACAGGTAAGCACATCATAGAATGTGTAATTCCCACAAGCACTGTAGGAGTTTAAGCTGCTAGAATTTCACTGAGACCAAGAATAAACCTAAATATGTCAACCCCCTTCTCAGAAGGTTCTTTGGAGTTTAGCAGTTTTGAGTTTTCTTCTTGAAAGCCAAGAAGGGAACCCCAGTTGAGACCTCGTGGTTTATTATTAGAAAATCTATGGCATTATTGGGTTACTCAGCTTTGGATGGTACATCCATGAGATTTTTTTAGACTAGAAATGCCCCCTGCCAACTTGACACTCTCAATGACTTTTAACAACTTTTTAAAAAAAATATTGTTCAGACTATTTTAAAGTTTATTTTAAAATTTCAGTCAATCATAATTTTAGAGTTATTCACTGATTTTTTAAAAATTTAACTGTGGCAAAATACATATAACATAAAACCTAACATCATAATCATGTTTAAATATACAGCTGAGTAGCGTTAAGTATAGTTACACTGTTGTGCAACCATCTTCTACAACATTCTCATCTTGTAAAACTGAAACTATATACCCATTAAACAACAACTCTGCGTCCTCCGCCCCCCAGATAACCACCCTCTACTTTCTATTTCTTTGAGTTTGACTACTCCAGAGACCTCATATATGTGATGTCGCACAGTGTGTATCTTTCAGTGACTGGCTTATTTCACTTCAGCAATAAAGGCTCATCCATGATGTAGCATATGCCAGAATCTCCTTCTTTCCTAAGGCTGAATAATACTCCATTGTGTGGCTATACCACATTTTATTTATCCATTGGTGTGTCAGTGGGCCTTTGGGTTGCTTCCATTTTTTGACTATTGTGAATAATAGTGCCATGAACGTGGATGTAGATTTAATGA